AGTGACTGTATCAGTCAGTGTTGGTCAAGTTACTTGAAAAAAGTAATCACTAATTAATTACTGATTACTTCCCGAAAAAAGGAAGGTAATCAGTTTACTTATTTTCAAAAGTAATTAGTTACTTTGTTACTTTTTAAAACATGATTTATCCCCTAAATAGGTAAGAAAGCAAAAGATTTTTCAGCCCAATTCTACTTTTTCATATAAAATGTAATCAAATGAAAAAGTCTCTTTTTAAAACTTGTTTTATTAGTTTTAATCTTTTAACTTTATGCATCAAGCAAACGTTAAATTATATGCAACATTCTCTGACTGGAAGAAAATTGTTTAACATTTAAACCTATTTTCTGCATATTCCAGCATATAAAATTCAATGTTTTTTTTGTTTACACTCACTCTTTCAAATAGATGCAAGTAAAACACAGCAGAAAATAAATAAAATCAAAGACTCAGCAGTCATGTTGCTCTATTTTCACCTGTATAGCAGGAGTGGGGCAGGCGGAGGTTTGCCCTGGTGCAGTTGTGCTGCAGCGGTCAGTGGAAGGATAATAATAATAATAATAATAATAATTTCACATTCCAGCGGCAACGTATTTGGTGCTTGCTCAGACGTTTAGGGGTTTTTCTCGCTGTATAAAGAAGTTTTCTTCCCACGCAGTGAGCAGCGGACGCTAGTGTTTTTGTCACTTTTTACGGAATTCAACTCAAAGTAAGGTTAGTACTTCCACGCTTTAAACGCGGCACTTGATATATTATCCATTTTTGATCTGCACACAGCTGTTGCCACGAACGTCACACTCGCTTGCCTGCAGGCATTAGACATTTCTGTCTGTGACCAACACAAGAGAGGAAGAGAAAATGGAGCATCAGAAGAGTTTCTCTGTGAGGAAACATGCTAAATACACTATATGGACAAAAGCAGTGGGCTACCTACACATTATACCTATAAGCTGCTCAGCCATGCAAATCCATACCATGCACCTCTGCCCTGCTCTGTAACTTTACATGATCTGCCACTTTGCTTCCTGAACAATGGAATTTTGCAGTAATACAACTTCCAGTTGATCGTTGAATATCTTGCAGGAAAGAAATTTGATAAATGACTTTTTGTAAAGGTGTCATCCTATTACAGTACAGTAGTGAGCGCTTCAGAAACCATTCTTTCACAAATGTTTGCAAAGGCAGATTGCATAGCCAGGTGTTTGAATTCAAGGAGGTGCTATTTTCAGTGCTATTTTTCAGGTGTATAAAATCAAAGATTAAGAGGTGCAGTGCAATATTTTATCCATGAAGTAGCTAAACAAAGCCAGGCTAAAACCCTTTAAAAAAGAGACAAAAAATGTTTCAGATTGACATTTTTTAATAAATGTTTTTCTTTTATTATATGGAGAAATATTGCTTTGTCAAGGCATTTATTTTGGCTTGCATCACTCATATGTTGCTAAACCTTTAAATTCTTCAGAGCTTACTTTTTGAAGTGTGGTAAGTTTTTCTTTTATTAAAAAAAAATCTCAAGCAAGTGCTTTAACTGAATAATCATACTTTGACCATACGCTTGCATCATGCATTTTTATGTGAAAATAACCTCCCAAGAGATCATTTCTGCAAAGTATAAAATATGGCCACGTTTATCCAGGAAATGCTTGATATCAAGAAGAGAGATAAGTACAAATGTTACAGAAGTATGGTCATCCTGAGCTTATCCAACCACATAGAAATATGTTTACACCTCCCTCCCACATCCCCTCTTCCTTTCAAATAATAAGGAAATTCAGGGTATAGTTCAGGGAATCTCCTGAAGTAACAGATAAGCAGTCAGGATGTCCTTGAGGTCTCCAAATAGGCACAATGAAACATGGGCAAAGCATCATGCTCCACAAAGGCCTGGCCCTTTAGACATCCCCGAAACCTCATAAAATCGAGGTCTCAATCAAAAAAAAGGAAAAAAGAAAAACACAAACACTCATGATAACCTTAACCTTATCTTAACTGTGGTTGCCCTTGCAGATATTACAGAAAGGAAGAAAACTGTAAACATTTGTACTTATCTTAAAAAAAAGATGCCACATTCGGTCTGGTTTACAATGAAATGTTTAGCAATTGTTCTTATCAGATGTTTGAGCCGATGGGTGTTGATGACAATAAACAAGCAATCTAATACTAAATATACAAACTGTAAGATTTGCTGGGAACTGTAATGGGTTACTTCAAGGACACAAGCTGATGAAGGAGCAAAGGCACTAGAAAAACAATGGAATGAAAATGCTTTGTAAGTTAAGGACAGCTGTGCAGCAACAACACACTTCAGCAAAAACGCTTTATCTAAACTCCTTTGTAGGTGTGAGGGTGTGTATCAGAGGGAATTATGGATGTGTGTTTTTATCCATGTTTGCATCTACACAAAGGCTTGTTTGTGCGAGCCTTGCTCTTTCGCTTGTTTACAGATTGTTTGCGGTGAAGGGAGTACTGATGATACTAAATCATTAGTGAAGGGCGCTAATTCTTATCTAAAAGCTGTGATTCTAACACTAATGGGAAAAGTGTTCAACGGCGTGAGTGCGAAGACCAGGGCAGAGAGGTAAGATGATGGGAAAAGTGGTTTTAAAGAGAGAGGGAGACAATACCGTGAGGTAAAAGTGGAGGTGAAGAATGAGAATGAGGCAAAAATGGAGACTTGAGATGTTAAATTGGAGGAGGGGGAGAACAATGAGAGAATAGGGGAGATAAGAGTGAAGGAAGAGGAGAGAATAGATAGCTAGAAATTGATAAATGTGCATGCAGAAGATTATAGGGAGCAGTGGGGAGAGGGAAAATGACACTGAAGAAGGACCGAAGGAAAGAGAAGGAAAATATTGCTTTTCTCTATGTACTTGTGTGTGCGTGTTTCTTTGCGTGTTACTGTACACATCAGCATCGAGGTCCCCGATTATTGGATCTCCCAATCGTGCCATCGAGTGAGCGTTCGAGAGCGAGAAGGAATTTGTGGATGTTTGAGTGCGAGAGAGAGAGGTGATAAAAAATGATAAAAAGGACAGAATAGGTGCAGGAGGTGAGAAAGGGGTCAGGCAATTAGAACAATTACTGCCAAGGATTCAAATTAAGGGTGTCACTGGTGGCAGAATATAATTCCCATTTAACGGTTCGTTTAGCTCCAAAATGCCAACCCTAGTCTAATAGATGAGATCTGGATGGGAAAAAAGTGGAAGTGGAAGAGTAGCAAGTGTGTATAGTGACGCGTGCGTGTGTGCTTGTGGTTCACAGTGGAAATGCTGTTGACAGTGTAATTTGATGAAAGCTGACAGCTAATTTATGAAGCATATTTTTGGGTAAATGATTTTTCCTGGTCCTGCTTTCTCTGTCATTCTAGACTAGTAATTGGATTTCCCCTAACTTGCAAGGTACTGAATTAGGAGTAAACTAGTTACTGGCTGTCTGTGTGTGGCTGTGGCAGGGTATGTGTGTACACGCCACAGAGGGCTTGAGAGTTAAAAAGAAAAAGAGGAATTTTAACAAAGCATGGGTTTGTGTATGCGCGAGTATGCGGATACCATATTTGTAGATGGAGGTGCAATCTCAGAGAGGAGTGGAAGTTAATTGCAAAGTTTTGGTCTGCTGCACTAATACCCAACTATTACTAACCACCTTTTGCTTTATTCCCACTCAGTCAATCAAGGACCATGGACACAAATATACGCATCAACACACACACACACACACACACACACACACACACACACACACACACACACACACACACACACACACACACACACACACACATCAAATGAACTCGCCATCCTCTACTCCTATCTCAGTCTCTTTCTGTCTTGTCTCACTTTAATTGCTAGGAGTGTCTTGTCTTTATGAAGCTATTCCCTAAGGTGTGTCATGGTGCACAAATATAAATGTGTGTGTGTGTGTGTGTGTGTGTGCGTATGCACGAGTGTGTGTTAGGAAACAGAGGGAAATTCTAAATAGAAAGCTGTTCCGACAGCAAGCTTGTAATTCTTGTAGTAAAAAAATTAAAACAAAAACAAATGCTCTGTGAACAATACCATGCACACCCACACACATGCATGAGGATGCACACACACACACACACACACACACGCACACACACATACACAGACAAACACACAAACCCAGTGAGATATTAGACTAAACACAAACATGCCTCTGTCACCACCAGAGACAGCTGCACAGCTATGAGCCCTCCTCTTGTTGCGTAGAGGCGTTTTAGCTGTTTAAGCCATTCACACACGGCTAAACCGAACCATAACACAAATCAAATGTATCTAATCCACGACAAACCTTAAACAACCGCCAGCCTAACTAATATAAACCAAACTGACACAAAACCCTACCAGGCCTTGCTCAGGCAAACCACAGCCAAACTGACTCAGTCCAAACAAATCGAATGCAAATATGTGTAATCCAAGTTAATCTAGTCAGAATGAGCAAAGCCAGAACACAACTCATTTTCAGAGGTCTGCTTCAGTTGTATCGTGTGTAGTTCTGTTGGTGGCTAAAAACAAGGATGCAGGCAACGGTTCAAACATACACATGGGGAAAGCCAATGAAGGGTATCTTGCCATGGTGCTGGACAGCAACCAGTCACCAGAAAAGCTTTAAAGCTCCTTGGCATAAATACTGCAAATGTCTGGTATTCAGCCTGTGGGGTGGTAAACCATTTTTTAAAATATATTTGTAATTTCTGTTTTGGTGATGTTAGTAGAAAATCTGTAACAGGTCTATAATCAGATCTAGCAAAGGCCATGTCCTTAAATCCCCCATGATTTTGACACTCATAAAGAGCCCTAATAAAACAATCTTCAGTCTCCCATACACAGAATCCTCAGACAGAAGCAGACGGGAAGACTGTGTTTTTATATGTTATGAATTTTCCATCAAAGGTTGACTATGTGGTGAAAACCAAACCTCCTATCTGTGTCAGCACTGTCTACCCATGTTTGAGTCAGCGGTGAATAAAGATGCCATCCTCAGCCTTTACCTGGAGTGTTGAGGAGTCTGGACATGCGACAGCTGTAGGCGATTTGCTGCTCACAGTATTCTGCACTGGTGGTGATGGCTGTCACCTGAAAACACAAGCAGGGATATGTATTTTCATTTTATCTTCTTCGACCAGACAGGCCCGTTTCATGTAAGAACAAATTACTGAGCTGTGAAACGAAAGAAAGCACACTCTAAAGTTGTTTTAATTTTTGCCTTCTGTGACTCCGAGAAGCTGAAAATGGAATAAGCGGCCACTACAAATTATGAAATAACGTAATTTGATGGATATGCTTCTCAAACCATGTAATGTCATAGTCATCCTGCAGTCTCTTCCCATTGGGGTTCCTTTAAACTTCACACACACAGTTTTCTTTTGACTGTGAGTGACAACTGCAATCTGTAATCACTCACCAGAAAGATTAAGATATTGACTCTTGAGTGTGAGAAGAGATTTAGGTAGTCTGAACTGTGTGTGGGTGAAGCACAGCAGGCAGGTGATGAGGGGATGATGATGGACACTTTTTATGTTAGTATATCGCAGTATGTTTGAAAGACTGGCTGAATGCGTGAAGTGCTGTAGCTCTGGCTGTATTATACTGCGATCATAAAGTTAGTAACTTTGTCAAAACAGAAGAAAAACTGTGCTGCAGCATAAATGCTCACTGTGTTCTAAACCCAGGACCTCTGCTGTCAGTGCTTTGAAGCACCAGCTGCAGGAACAGCAGAGGCCGAGCGATAACAATCCTCTTAAAGAGGAACAAAATCCGCATTTGGAGGTTGGAAGTTACAGCTCTGTCAGTCAGAAGACCATGGTTTGTCTCCCATTTGGGGGCTCAGTGTATTTGTGTGACTTTGTTTTCACTTTCAATTTTTGCTTCAGTTTGTTTAGGAACCAAAAAAGTTTTAGAAGACAATTTGGCTTCATTTAAAGTATGACCCTTCACAGTATTAACCTGGCACATTGATATGATACTAACCCAGTCTTTTGACTGTCGAAAAGTAACAAGTTGGGAGCAGCTTTGAAAAAATATAAATAATACTCTGAGCTAAGAAATGCTTGAAATGTTACTGTAGTGAAAGACCATCCTGTGTGTGTGAGATCATTACAAACACCATGCAGAAATTTCATTTCATTTCATTAGGTGGATCTGTTCAACTGCTGGCTAATGCAAACATCTAATCAGCCAGTCACATGGCAGCATCTCAGTGCATTTAGGTATGACATAATCAAGATGGCCTGCCGCCTTGTTGTTGGCAGAGGTCATCTTTGAAGTGACCACACTGTGTATCATTGCTGTCAAGACAGGAACTGGAAACTGAGGCTACAATTCTCATGGGCTCAGGAGTAGAGATGGACCGATCTGATATTACGTATCGGTATCGGCCCGATACTAAGCTGTTGTTACAATTTCTTTAATATTACTTTGTACACCAGGATCCTTTTCTACATAGCTGACGCTGGTAACTGTGCAGGGGCGGATCTAACAAAGTTTAGCCAGGGGGGCCGATAGGGCATGAACAGGGAAAAGGGGGCACAAAGACATACTTTTCTTTCTTATTCTCATTTAAAATATCTAGCTTTTAATAAATAATTATCCGAATCTTACACCCATAGTTTTAATCTGATGTAAAATGTATAGAAGTCCATTACTGTACATAGTAATTATTAAGTCTAATATACCCTAGTAAGCTATAGTACTTTTTCCTTTGGGAAGGTACCATCTGTGCAGTCTGCAATTCTGTTGAAGAAAGATGTTGAATCTATTTAATTATTCTTGAAAAATAATTGATTTCTGTGCATTTTTTTTCACACTGCATCAAATTAAAGTTAAGCATCATGAGGTGGTTCCCTATTTTACAACCCTATTAGTTTGGTTGCTTACTCTTTAAAATACCAGAATAGGGAGGATGGTGTAGGTTAAGTTTACTAGGTTGATCAGAGAGACTGATATTGCTGAACTATGAAATATTTTCGGTGCATTGTATTTTTTGCATAGAATAGCTTTAGTGTTTGTTTTTTTTAACTTGAGTTTGAACTTATACAAAAAGCAGCAAGATATTAAAAAAACAGTTTTGTTGATTAAAAAACACTATATCGGATTCATATCGGTATCGGCAGATATCCAAATTTATGATATCGGTATCGGACATAAAAAAGTGGTATCGTGCCATCTCTACTCAGGAGTTGAACAAAAGAAAGCTGGGAAAACATTGCCTGCTGTGATGATTCTCAATTTCTGCTGTGACAGAAATTTTGACGGTAGTGCCAGAATGAACGACATAAAAGCAACTGCCTTGCAGTTAGGCTAGTAGTGGTATGATGATGCATGTTTTCTTGTCTAGTTTTGGGGTCTTAAGTACGTATGGTTGCCTAAGTGCTGCAGTGTCTAAGTGCCTATCTGAGTATTGTTGCTGACCATGCCTATCTATTTATGACCACAGTGTCTTCTAATGGCTGCTTCTAACAGTAAAACACACTATGTTACATAGCTCAAATCATCTCAATCTGGTGTCTGGTTCACTGTGCTCTAATGGCCTTCACAGATCTCAGTACAATAGAGCACCTTTGGGGTGTGATTGAAAGGGAAATTCACATCATGGATGTGCAGCCAAAATGCAGCAGCTTTGTGATGCTATCATGTCGATATGGACCAAAATCTCGGGAGAATGTTTCCAGCAACTTGTTAAATCTAAGACATGAAGAAATTAAGACAGTTTTTAAGGAAAATGGGGGTCGAATGTGACACTGGGATAGTATAACCAATGAAGTGTCCTTTTAGTTTTCAATTATCTTGCACTAATCACTGTATCTACTGATATGTAAAAACTCAAGCTATCCCAAATTCATGCTGCCTGTATGTTTACTTAACCAGAAATTACAGAGGCTGGGGAACACATTAGCTCTGGGAAAACTTCAATTTGCATACAACTCGAGGCACAGCTCCACAAGCACATTTAGTATTTGCCAAGAAAAAAATGATAAATGATTAGTTGTAATGATTGAACTATTCTGCACATATTCATTTAATAAATACAGTATTGTGCCATGGGAAAAGAGACGTGGCTTTATAACTGCTTCACTACTTTTTAATTCACGCACTGCATGCATAATGCTAATGCCAATTCAAGTCCATGTGACTTAGGCGTAGTCGGAAAAATAAAGGGCTTTTTTTTCAGCAAACAATAAGAAGACTGCTATCACAGAAGAAAATGCAGCTGCTTTCTCACAAGCAGAGGTCTCAGAGAAAACAGCCCAAAAATGAAACCCTATGGTCCTGTCAGCAACAGCAGAGTAACGTGTGCCGTGCACCATATTAGGCTTGCTTTTAAAGGGTGGGATAAAATCATCTAAAACAAAACAGATGTTAGCAGTAGTCAGTAAAAAAATCCTCACGGTTCTCATCGTTCATAATATGTACTAAGGGAGAAGCCCAGAGCCTGAGGGCTACAATTCAAACAAATCCAAACCCTTTTTTCCATCTCATAATATATTCCTTTTCATTTTTTAAAAAAAAGATTTTTTGGCTTCTAAACCTAAGTATAATACTACTTTTGCCTTATTTGCAGACAAAACACTTTCTATGCTTAACGTGTTCAAGTGCATTACCTGGTCCATTGAGGCACTGTAGTTGACCTGTAACACGGTCCGTCTGTTTCTGCTGGAGCCTGTGACTATGGTTTTGGGAGGCAGGTTGTTCATCACTGTGGTCCATACTTTGTCCTCTATGAAAATAGACAAAACACATTCAAAATGAAAACAAGCCATAGCGCAATTTAAGCCTAGGAAACGTATTTGATCGTTCGTTTAATTTTACACATGCAATCGATTCGCACATGCAGACATAGCAACACATGAGTTGTGCAGTTTAGCTGTCATGGCAGTGAAGTTCTTTCCGTGTAATCTAAGTTACAGCTATGAGACTCCGGGATTTAATAGACACTTCTGTCCTGTTATAGTACGAACCAGTCACTCACACAGCTCCTTGTTCATTCACACTGTCAGTCAGGGAATGTGTGTGTGTGTGTGTGTGTGTGGTTCAGGTTTCTGAGGTGTGTGTGTGCGGGAGAGAGAGAGAGAGAGAGAGCGTGAAACTCTTAACATTTCAGAGGTGTGTGTGAGTGCGCTATTCAGCGTGACTAAGGGGCCAGCCAGTGGAGTGCAGTGACATTTCATTAAAAGTCTCGCCTTTGCTCTGCCTCCATGCTCTGCTGTTCCAGACTATCTACTTATTCCACTGTGTGTGTGTGTGTGTTCATGGAAGTGTGCAGGTGTGTGTGACAGAAGAAGTGTCACACAGACCCTTAGAGCACTCCTAGAGTTGCATAACAGCTTCGTTGCGTATATGTTTGTGGCGTGTGTTTTGATGTGCATGTGCATCTCAGTATCTGTGTTTGCTGCTGCTTCAGAAGTAAATGTCAGTTACTGTGAACATGTTGCCATGGAAACCACAGATATAACAGGTTAAGGCTGCAGAGTTTATTTCCTTTCATAGGTCACTGGGGCTAGACAGTATGGAAGGCACACACGCAAACACACACTGGAGACACACACCTGTCATGTTGCAGTTAACTTTGAAGGGGCCAAGAGGTCCGCTGCCATCGGGGTCGATCCAGTAGGCATCGGAGGACTTGCCCAAATGCTTGTAGGCCTCACACGAAGGCTCATAGATCGCTGGAGCAGAGCAAGGGTGAAGAAAAATGAGAGCAAACATGAGCAGTTGAAGGAGGATGGGTATTAAAGGAAAAACACAAAAAAAAACAAGCGCACTATACATCCCCTCCCCAAAATTAGGCTTACAATACAAGTCTGTGTTTGACACCTACTCAGTGTGACACCACGTCATGTTGAGATATACACTGACACTGGGGAACATCCATATTTAAAGGAGCACAACTGTTGAATGGATGACAGATGAGGAAACACTTTTTTCCTATTTATAAATCTTAACCAATGAGGCAAAAAAAAATAAAAAATAAAAATAAAAAATGGCCGTGGGTGGTGGCAGTGTTAAGGCCTGGCTTTCCAGCAAAATCAGCAGTTGATTCCCCGTAAACAGAAAAGCGTTCATAGATTGGCAGTTTTTTCTTTTTTTCTTTTTGCCCTGAGGCTGGTGCGAGAGAAGAGGCTACAGTAAGCCACTCAAAAATATACTATAGACAAATGCTAGAGTAACATTTCTGTTTTGTTATCTAATTCAGCAACTAAAGCTTCCAAATCCACGATGGACCTAAAATAGCAACTCAGTTTCCAAAGCTGCTTTCTTTTTTCCCCCCTATTTTTATTTTCCCCTTCGTCCAAAAGGCAATTTCATATGGTTGCCTCGCTCACCACATTGTCTCTATTCAGTGCCTGTCAAGGAGCAGCGTCTTCTCCCTAACACTCGAGCAATCTAGCTGACAACATATTGATGTTGTGTTTGTGTTGACGTACACACAGACAGACAGGGACGCGGACAGCAGGAAGAATTACACTTCAAAGTGAATTGCGAGCGTGACTTGAAGTGAAACTTTCTTGATTGAAGTGTGACTCCTCACAGGCTTAACAATGAGTTTAAAAAGAAAAAGAGCCTGCAATATGTTAATAGTTCTTTGTTAGTTTGCCTGCTATCAACTCCTTATTTCTGTCTGCAGTTTCTTTATTTTTCAGCCTTTTCTTTTCTATATGTTCTCCGACTACTTCATTGATCTCAGTTTTGCAGGGTGGTTTTCTGATTAGAGGAGACTCTTTTTGTTAACCACAACCAGTGTTGGGAGGATGTAACTGTACTGAGGAATCTCAAAGGATCAAGAGAAGTGTTGAGGTTGATGTTTCTGTTCTGGCTCAAAGCCATTGGCAAAGGCTGTAATACAATGGTAGTTTAATAGCCAGCATTTCTCCTAGGACTTCTTCAGTGTTATGTACCACAACAGAAAGATTCAATGTACAGAGAAATTCAGAGAAATTTCTCCAGAGGGAACTTAATTAGAATATTTAGTAAGTCAATACAAAAATTATGTCTGCATATATTTACCATCAGAGTGGAATACTAGCAGGATTTGGAAAGGAGCTTATGGCAGTATCAACATAAAAGCTGTAAATGCTGGTAACCCCTGTGCTTATTTTTTAATGACAAAAAAATACAGTCAAAGTATTTAATTGGCATGAACTAAAATGCAGTTTTCAAAACTGTATACTCTTTTTTTTTTAAGTTATTAACCATTCAGTTATTGTTTTTATCTTCGAATATGGTTAAAACATATTTATTCTTCCATTAATTGACTATTACGTATCTAATCACTAAAGGATGGGACACTACTGCACACTCCTGGGTCTTTAATTGGTGACATGTTTTAAATCATTTCATGGCGTCAAATTACACCATTGTTTTGTTTCACTCTTTATTTATGCTGCCATCGTAGTCCAGAGGTTGAGAAGTGTAATTCTGGTGGTCATAAGGTTTGCCCTGTACCCATGTGTGCTGTCTGAAGGTACCTCAGCTTCTTTGTGCATGTTGGGTTAATAAGGTGCCTAAATGTAGAATAAAGCACTGTATGAATGCATGCTTAAATGTGGTTGTTACTCTAAAGCACTTTGAGTGGTCAGTAAGACTGAAAAAGCACTATATAAATGCCCGTCCATTCCATTTCATCAACTTTGCCACCGACAAGCTCCACCAGAGAAACTATTTAGAGGTCCGTGACAAAGAAGCGGCTCTTTAAGGAAGTGAAAAGAGTTGCTCATTCACTCTCTCTCCCCACACTTTACTGGCAGGTCTCCAGATTTGCCTCACACCTTTATAGCCGGAAACCAGAGACCTTCATTTCTAGGTTACTACTGCCTTAGGCTGTCTCTTATTACTCCTAACTAATCCTTGACAAATTTTTCAGAGGGCATGCGTGAAGTCAGCACCTTGTTTACTCATTTGTTTCTTTCATGTATCATCACCAGCAGCTGTTATTTTGGCACATATGCAGCACAATGCATCGCAGAGCACTATGTGGTTGCATAGCGTTTCCATATAGCCCCAGAAACTCAGAGGTGTATGTGATACAGTAAGTATATAGTAAATAGGGATGCAATTTTGGACACAGATTCACACATATAGAGAGATGCAGTCGTACAAAGACATTTCTCGATGTGCATCTTGCTTCATCTGTTTCTGTATTTTTTATGATCTATTCATTATTACCTACTTAGACCAACTCCGCAGTGCCTAAATTTGAAAAATGTCTTTTTCACTCACTTTATTCCTCTGGCTTTCTCACACTTCCATTATATTAAATCTGCTCTTTTAGATTTATTTCCAGAACTTTACTTATCTGCCTTCTCTTAAAAGAGAACAGTCTTTGAGGCTTATGGGAGGAGGGATGGCATTCTCAAATTGTTAAGCATTTTTAAAAAAATCCCGCTTTGCTCTCTCCGACTCTGTTCTCTTTGTGTTATGGGGCTTTTTGGGTCGTATTCCTTTTTCTCTGTCGGAACAAAACACACAGTGTCATCAGAAAAGCCTGATTCCCATGAATACTTCAAAAGTTCATCTGTCCCTCTAATGAGAATTGTGGCTTTGAGCTGAAAAAAACCCAACAAACAGCTTAATCACTCAAATTCGAATGGAGGAAGGCTAAATCAAACACACACACGCACACACACACGCACACACACGCACACACACGCACACGCACACACACACACAGGCAGAGCAGAGCGGCCTAAAGTGTTGTTCCACGGACGGGAACACAAAGAAACAAAAAATGAATAGAACAAACAACTGTACACACAACTTGCCACACACACACACACACACACATACTTACAAGTATGACATGTTGCTCCAGTGTATCCAGTTCCATCACAAGTACAGCTGAAGCTGTCCCAGGTCTGTTTACACCGACCACCATGTTCACAATGATTGGGCATACATCTAGAGAGAGGAGGACAGCAATAGCACTTTTACAGGAAATGTTTTCAACACTTGTTGCTTTAAAAACTTGCTTTATAAATAAATACACTACCATTCAATGATCAATATCTGTCACTCAGAAGAGTTCTTATTTTGAAAGGAAAGCACATCGATTTTTATAGATACTTTTTAATGATAGCACCCATCCAACAGCACATTGTGTTACTTAATGCAATTTATCACGGTAAAAAACTTATTGATCAGAAAACAATAAAAGCTTCAACAAAAGCTTTTCTAACTACAAACATTTTTGTACCATGAGTCAGCGTGTGATGTTAGAAAGTGTGTGCCATCGATAAAACACTGTATGAACCGTTCTGTGATTAGCTGAACGGGGCTTGAGCCAGAAAGCGCTTTGAGTGCTCAACTGAGTAGAAAAGCGCCATGTAAGTGCCAGACCATTTATCAAATCTTTTCTCAAAATGACCCAAACTCACCAGAGTATTTTTGTTCTCCAAAACAAAAGATATCCCATTCTGATTCTTAGTTCTGTTCCCAGCTTTAATTGAACTTAACTATAAAAGAAAAAAAAAGAAGTTGTTCTAATGCGCAGCTGAGCAATGGGACAAATACACTAGAGTCTCTGACTTGGAAACAGATCTCTTACAGAGTCATATGGTGCTAGGTTGTGAAGAGAGGAGTGGATTATTTTCTTAAAACAAACAAACAAACAAAAAAATTTCTTTGCTTTTTGTTTTGGCAATTTGCTCCTTTTCATAGAACAACAGAATATTCTGGGCTATGGTAATATGACGAATTAACAATTTAATGTGACAAACTTGCGTATGCCCATATAGACATCTCATTAAAAACTTTTTTTATAACAGATGATCTAAATTTTGTGATAAACAATGTTAAGGTGCACTATATCTAACTTGTTGAAAAGGAAAGGAAATACATTAAAAGGTGATTACTTGTAGGTTACATGAACTGTGACCACATTGAGATTTTCTTTAGAAGTCCATTACTATAGGTAGCTACTATCTAAAGAAATACAGGACTGACAGAGTGGCATCCCTATTCATCTGAGACAGAAGTCTTACAATATAATAATAAAAGAATGTGATTCTATGAGTTGAGATTAATGTAAGTTTTATGATTTCACTGACCCGAGGCCCTTGAAAACTACCACACATACCTTTGCAGGCAAAGGATACTAAATATTTATGCTGTAAAAAAGCTGATTCAAAAGGACAAAACCAGTGATAAGATCTAAACCATTCAAACATATCAGTCAGCATGATGATAATTTCTAATAATTTAAAATAGAACTCGGCAAAGAACCTTCGTTCTTTGAATTTCCACATATTTTCTCCCTGTTTGGACTCTTTTCATAACCAATGATGTCGCTATTAGCTTGATAGGTTCAATGAATCTGTCAACATTTCCATTCAAGGTGTTCACAAGAACAAAAGAAAGAAAGTAATGCCTTCACTTGATACCCCCCCACCCCCACAGCAATACTTGTGCCAAGACACCCAGTCAGTGAAAGAAAATGCAGGATCTACTGGTGACCTTGGCTAACTGTAAACAATCAGGAATAACTCAGTTTTAATCGGACCATGTGCGACTAAATAAAGTGAGACTGTCAGTGACTACTGAAGTGTGTGTCTGCCTATACTAAAATGAAACATCATTGATTATTGAGTGCAGGAGGCGACAGACCTGCTAATGATGCTGAATCTCAGTGTTCCATCTTAGGTTTCTTAACATAAAGCATATTGTTATTGTTAAAATTTAGTCTCTATATTCACAGATGGAAGTAAACAGAGTGTGAACACAGCACTGAGCATACAGCAGTTAAGACATCACAGTTTTTCTTGTTAAAATTTGAATACCAACCCAAATCCCGAGCACATCAAAGTTCTGTGGTTTGATCTGCCTGCAGGCCTGTGGGGATGGATCCCGAGGCACGGGAGGCTTAAAGCGGGGTTTTCCACACACACAGTCATGTATGAGTTATGCGATTAGAATTTTTAAGTCTGCTTACTTGAATGTAATAAAATGGTGTTAGCAGGAAAGCGAGCTGGAGGACAAACAAACACTGACTCGTAAAGCTGCAGGGGTCCTTTAAAATTCTGAGTTCTTCTCCAGCCTCACTGGCTGTCGGGCAGTTAAGCAGCACAAATATTCCGCCTCTGGAGCTGGACATGATGATTACTGCTGTTGTGCACACAATACTGATGAAAGTGACATACTACTTTGGCCTTGTTCACATAACATAGGATAGCTTCACTGACAGCAGAGGGGGTTATAATTGTGGCCATCTTTGGATTTCTTTGTACATTTGGACTCAGTGTACTTGGAAAACGAGGGGGACAGCATGTGCTGTAAAAAAAAGAAATAAATAAAATAAATAAAAATCCTGCCTGTCTGCTAGGCTACAAAATATTTGACAAGCATTTGGCTATGTACAAAATCGACCCTGTGGCAGTCTAAAAGCTGTGAAAAACAAACATTCTAGTGTGACACTAGATTGCACAGCACATTTTTAATGCAAGTAACGCATCTGGAGTGCAGAATGACTCAAATTCCCTGAAATGTTTCTGTCAGCGCATTTCGGGCAGTTTGTCCAAGTAGAGTTAACTTCAAGTTAACGAGCTTACTGCGCTAAAGCTTTGACGCCGTGCAGCCCCACGCACAGTTAATTTCCTTTTGCTGCGCAGCTCTCACACAGTGGCTCAGCTATGCTCCAATCCCTCCATATTGTGGCCAGTCACATGCGAGGATATAGGATAATATCATTATATGAAAAACAGAGGGAGAGACGCGACAGTTAAGTGGAGTGTGCGTCTGTCCTCTCAGTAAGTGAGTGAGACAGTAGACAGTGGTGAGGAGGGCTGTGCGAGTGCATCGCAAAAACACATAAATATGCCTGACACCCGTAAACGAAGCAGCATCTGGCTTTTTGTCTCGTCTCGACTTTGTCTTTGTCTTGACTCAGTCTGTCTTGGTCTTGTCTTGACTACAAGTCTATTCATCAGTGGTGCAGAGGGTATGTTGATGATGAAAGCACTAGCATTAGTGCTAATCTTTTCTGCAAGGCTCCAAAAAGAAATAAATAAATAAATCCATGATTCAATTCCAGTTACATCTTTGCAGCATGCTTCTTGTTATGGATAATGCAACATTGTTCTGTTAATTTTCAAGACATTTCCCTAATGTTCCTACTTAATCTAGGCATTTCCAATCCAGAGGTAATGTTAGTCATTTTTTAAAAAGGTTTGTAGTGGTGTAACATACCGACAAAGGTTAGGTAGATTTGACCTATTTGTGTTGTGCTTGAGTACAAATATAGAGTAGATCGCACCTAACAAATTGTGTACTAATTAGGGTTAGGGTTAATTGTTACATCAATTTCGTTGAGTATATTTTTAAAAGTTTGTTTTTACAGTGTAACAAGGTTCAGATAAAGGGCCTTTCACAGAGGGTTGCAATTGACAATCACAAAAGACATTATGCTCAGCAAGCTGTGATCACTCAAGTATACTAACTATATATGCGGCTTTTTTTTTCCTGGAAAAAAAAAGACATTTCGGCAAATTTATGAGCGTGTGTGGTTTTATGTGCCTCTGCACTCATTGCCTCGGCAGTATTACAGAACAACAGTGACATTGTGGGAATTTGCATGGGCATAGCTATGTGTCCACCTGAGAGTGTGTCTGTTAGGTTGTGTGTAGTTTCTGTTTCTTCCACTATCTCACCCTAAACACAATCTCACAGTGGAACGGCATTGATCAAAGGGAGGTCAGACAGGGCTATTGAACTGCCTTCAAAGACATTCTGATTAGTTAGATGGTAACAGTGCACCCATTCATCTTCCATGGCAGAACAAGGCCCACCTCAAGTACTGCAGGGCTTATACAAAACATTTGAAGTAATAGACTTGGGCAATACTGGGAGCACAGAGAGTAGGATAGTTTCATTAAATTTGGAAACTTCTGTGTTAGTTCACGTCCAAAATAAAGTTTTTGGCCATGGACAGTTTTTTTTTTCTCCACCTGTGAAGGCAGAAGTTTTCTGGAGAACTGTCAGCACATCTGCTATTGCATTTTCAATATGCAGCAGCAGGAAGCCAACTTCCAGTGGTCTGTAACACTCTCGGTCACTCATCTTTGTGATCGTTTCCTCCGTACAGTATAGTGTACGTCACATAGAGGCAGTTGCACAGAATTGCACAAAATAAACAGCATCAGTATTCTGTTGAAGTGAAATTGTAACAATGGTGAGTAACATTTGATCAAATTAAAACATAATAACGCAGTCTTCTGGCTGACTCAGTCAATTAGCACCTCTAAATTAGGCATTTGATTGCACAGCACAATGCAAAACAGAGTCAAACAGAGTCAAAATGCAAATTTTGACTTTGTAAGCATTTTGCTATTTACTGGATGACATTTCAAATCAAAATTATTATTATCATTCATATTAGGTATGACACATACTGTGTCATACTCTGCCTCACAGAGCCCCTCCTCCTGACCCCCTCCAGGTACACTGTAAGAATAAACACAATATGAACAAATACAATACGTTTCATTCATTATTGGAGGAGAGTAGGGCACAAAAAGGATTTTTTGACTAGAGTTATAAACTAGGTGGCCTAAACTGCCACAAACACTTTAATAGAAACATTATCTGAAAATGCAAATGCAAAATGACAACACTGACTTAAACAGGATTTTCTGATGAGTCTGCCTGTGTAAGTGTGTGCCCAAGCAGTTGTTTGAACTCAAGATTCCCAGCCAGTCAGACCACTTGTGGCGAACCTAAATTGATCACAATCAAGCAGGGGTACTTGGTGTCTTCTTCGCTCAGCAAGGATATCGATGAAGGTCATTGACAAACCTCACCTGAAGACAAATCACTAAATAATACGTGACTAACACCACCGGGATTAAACGTGTCCTCAAAGTTTAAATGGTTTTGCACACAGGCATCAATGCAGGCAAATGTTGCATGGGTGACTGCATGTATGGCGAATCCATTCCAATGTGTTTGTCTAGTCCATGACAAGGAAATAAATTGAAATGTCAACAAGTTTAATGAATGCTTACAGTGAGCCAACATTGGGAGGTGCTGTGCAGAATTTCCATGTCTGGTATCCTTGGCAATAAAACCGAACTGCATGGCTCATTTTTGATGTTTGATTAAGATTGTTCAATGTTTTCCACTGATAAAATACACACCTCCTTGCACTGTAATTTTCCCCATCAACTATATCTGACAAGCAGATAGGAGACAGCAATACGCTCACATACTTGTTGATTCAAACAGACAAGTGGATGTTTGTGCTATAAGTCTCTGGATCGAAATTCAAAGACTCCACATGGCGCTCTTGTCTAGTATATGATTCTTCCTATTTAAAACCAGTTGATTTATATCAATCATTGCTTTTGTCCTCTGCCCATGCCTGACCCACTCTTACCTGTCTATGATTGCACACATGTCCAGGCTGACATTCTCAAAAGCTCCCACAGTGCCTTTCTCCACAGCATGTAGATCAGCAGGTTGGTCATCAACTAAGACTGCTTGCATGCAGCCTTGAAACGAACGCTGGGTTGGTGGAAACAGTGTTTGCAGAAAATAACCTGGAACCCATACAAGAAACAAACAAAAGAAAAGAAAGTAAAACATTGTTACATAAAAAAATGGCAATTTTCTGCTGACAATTACAGATAGTTGGAAGTGGAAAAAATGCTGTAACTATTTTGAGAAGGAACAGAAACAAAGGGATGCATAAAAGCTTGTTTTAATAGTGAAATGAAAGAAGTGGGAGATTGAAAGAATCCTATTATGCTCTCCCTGCAATCTCACGATTTAAAACACACCATGAAAAGAAGACAGTGACATTATCCTTGATGAGCAACAACACACCTGGCCAGTGAATGGTTATTGTCCCCTTTTTTAAAACCATGAACCTTCATCACTTGTCTTGTTTTAGAGCTTATCCGCAAGGCCCATTAGACTTAATGCTGGTGCTAAGACTGCAGTAGGCTAGAGGACATACAGATTTTACTCTATACTGTACGTTTATGAGGTACAGGAGTCAATGGCCCGTCCAGAGGTTTCACTGGGCCTTGACTGAAGAGGGGACAAGGCTAGGACAAAACTATACACCTGTGTGTATTTTTTGAACATTCTTTATCTTTTACAAAACTTCACTGATATATGACAGGTTTACATGTACTCTACATGCATGTCTTCTACATGTTTAAATCTGCCTCCGTGCTTTGTGTATAATAGTTGCACAGCATACAGTATAGGAGTGTAAATCTACAGAGCACAGGCAGTCCAACAGCACACGGGTCACTCATAAAACACAACCGCTCAATGACATCTCCATCATCGTGATGATATAAGCTGTCACACTCTCCAGCATGCCTATCAGCTTCAAGGCCAAAGCATCAAAGAGACTTATTATACAAGGCGTGTGCACTGGGTGTGTGTGTGTGTATGTGTGTGTATACATCGACATAATTGTAGTTTATGTCCCTGACACAAAGCATATAAAACAGTAGAAAGTAAACAGTATGTATAAGGGTATGTGTGTGCACGTTTGCTGGATTCATCCTGTTCTTCACATCTTTTGATTTTCATCTCCTCCTTCCAAAAAGTTTCTCCTGTCATCCTTGCCATCTGTCTCTTTTCCTGCCACACCTGCCTGGTGTTTTTTTTTTTTTTTTTTTTCCAGGGAGAAACACAGAGAGAGAGAGAAAGACAGAGAGGGAGATAGAAAAGGAAGAGAAGATGGGAAACAGAGCAGACTGCAGCTGGCTGGCAGCACTTTGTGTCCTGTGGATAGCTTATAAATGCAAAGGAAATCCAGCTATCCTGACAGTTTGGCAGAATGAGTGGCACCATGCATGAAGCTATGGGTGGATGTATGTATGTTGCTCGGCCATGAAAGCCAGCGGGAGGTTTGTTTCTCTGCTTCTCTTTTCAAGCCACCAACTGAGTGGTTTTTGCAATTAAAGTTCAACACTATATCCGATTAGTTTATTAGGTGTCACTTTATAATTTACTCTTTTGATGCAAAAATACTTTTTTAAGAGCAATAACTGAAATGCACCTGTATTTCTACTAAAACCGGCATGCTTCAGGTGACAGCTGACTTTGGATTAAAAGTTAATCATCAATCAGCAAACAAAAGCAAAAATCTGATATCTAGAAAAAGCTAAATGAATCCAAACATCTGCAAATCACTATTTAAAAGACACAGGTGATCATTTATCTATATGAATGAGCACTATAAATGCTCCTTTTACCATATTGCATATTAAATGATTAATAGATGGATAAATAAGACTCAGAGAGTATGTAGATTTTGCAGTAGCAGAGTTTTAAATAGATTTAAAGTACAGCATTTTATTTTATTATTACTCTAAAGCAATGACCAGACATAACCAATGTTAATATATAGTTACAATTCTGTTTTAGTCTGCCTCCCTGGGAACATTTTTATTTCCCCAAGAAGCTTCAAGAAAATTAATTTTTTATGAGGCAGCACGGTGGCACGGTGGTTAGCACTGTTGCCGCACAGCAAGAAGGTCCTGAGTTCAATTCCAACATCAGGCCGGGGTCTTTCTGTGTGGAGTTTGCATGTTCTCCCCGTGTTTGCGTGGGTTCCCTCCGGGTACTCCGGCTTCCTCCCACCGTCCAAAGACATGCAGCTTGTGGGGATAGGTGAATTGGAAAATCCAAATTGCCATTAGGTGTGAATGTGAGTGCGAATGGTTGTCTGTCCCTGTGTGTTGGCCCTGCGACAGACTGGCGACCTGTCCAGGGTGTACCCCGCCTCTCGCCCTATGACAGCTGGGATAGGCTCCAGCGCCCCCCGCGACCCTGAAAAGGATAAGCGGAAGCGAATGGATGGATGGATGGATGGATGATCTTAAAATATGTATCACTGTATGAATGTAATGCAGATATACTCACACAAAGTTCAAGATTCAGACCGCTGTTAGTAGAAAGTCCAACAAAGACAAAACAATTGCTGGAAGCAAAGCAAATGCATCACCATACCTCAATCGATCTTCTAATCTAAATTCTAGATAAGAATAAGCAGTACTTATTTCTCCCTAATTTCAATGTCATTCTTTGCTTTAATTTGCAGTATTACTACAAACAGAAGAACTCTGTTTCTTATAACTGTTCAGAATGTGGAACAACAGCAATAACCCCCTGCAGTCTTGTTGGCACAGTATCACAATCCCCCTGTTGGGCCTAAAGAGCTCGTCTTACAATACACACTGGAAAGACCAGCACCAGCTTTCTTCTACCTGTGCACGGCTGGCTCCCAGGCTATGTTTCCAAATCCCATTACATTTAGAGGTATGTGTCTGCTTCCGGAAGAGGTAGGTTGGAAATCTGCCAATATGCTCAGAGGTAAATTATTAAACAAATATTCCAAGGATGTAACTCTAGAATATATTCAGAAGAGACAAGAACTATTGCCAAACAAAATATGTAATTTCACACAAAACCAAGAATGCACTCCCGGAAAGGAAAATGCTTATCTCCTGACCACCTGCTGCAGTTTGTCCCTCAGCAATTTACCCTAAGTGTCCAAAAAAGTCCTCAGAGCACTCCCAAACAAACATAACTCGCATTAATATCAAACAAAACTCATGTCAATAAAATCATTTGGCACCTTAGCTGATATGCACGTAAACAGAACTGTTTGCACTTACACAAAATGACACAAGATGCACATGCAGCACGTGGACTGCACTTTGATAAATGTGGTTGCCAGAGTGTCATGTCTTATTCATCACAAGCCTTAGGATGTAAAGGTAGGATGTAAAAGGAACGGCATGCAAGACGCATGGCTGAAAATGTGCTATTCATTACAAGTTACCGCAAGAACTTAAGATGCTAAAATGACCAAAAGAAAGCACTGGAGGGCTACAATGCTGTGTTTCAAGAAGGTCAAAAATATACTGTGTCATAGTGTACAGTCTATGTGTAGTAATGGGAAAGCAACTGTAGGACTTTTGTCATGATGAGTCATTTATTCACAAATAGAAAATGTGAAAGAAGCCATTCTATCATTTCCAAAATGATGAAAGAAGCAATGAGCTATGAAAAGCTGTGACAATATTTGGAACCACTCAGTATTATCAAATGTATAAGAAAGTCAAGATTTCAACACTACAATAGGAAACACTACATACTCCTTTCCGCCCCCACCTACAGACAGTTATCAAATGCTAGAAAGCTTCAGAGTGGAACGTCCCATAATTGACTGCTCTCTCATTAGTGTATCAATTTTTTCCCCTCTTCCTGAATAGAAAATATGACTTTGTGTCTCCGTGTATGTGCACTTATGTGTGATTGTGTGTGTCTCCCTGTCGTGCCTCTTGAGAAATTCAATTTATGGATGTCTTCTGCCAGTCACTTACTAATTTCTCTAAGCGTAGCGTCATGAGTGAAAAACTACTCTCCGTAAAATGGGCTTTGGGTTCAGGAGACTGCTTCTAAAAGCAGGTGCTCAATGGACAGAGGAGTGGAGATGAGAGGAGCAGGAGAGGAGTCCAGCGGGAGGCAAAGGAAGGGGTTAAAGCAAATGAAATAATGAGAAAAATGAAGACATAAGGTAGGGAGGAAATTTGAAGGAGCAAAACAGAAAGAAACCTGAAAAGAATAGAATGAAGAAAGAGGGAAGAGTAAAGGGCACGTTCAAAGGCTCAAAGCCTAGGTCTTTCTTGCCACTGACATCCTCAGCATAATATCTTGTAACCTAGCAACCTTGGGAGAGGTTCCAAGAGAATTTTAATGGCACAGAAATTAAATGGCAGGACTATTACATCACAAGGAAAATGTTGAATGGCTGCAGAACTCAGAGATTTGCACTGTCAATTATTACATAATTTCAGAGGAAGCAAAGTGGTCTTATTTTAGCTGTTATTAACTGACACGCAAAAACTGCACATTCTAGACAATATATATAAAAAAAGGAAATAAGGAAGAATATTCAATAAAGGGAAATATTATGTACTCAATTTGCATAGCCTTTAAACTCCTTGGGAATAGTACCTCATTTGCATAATGTCCCATCATAGCCAAAATCAAATAAATAAAAATGCATTAAAAGTTACCACTGATTTAAACTGGGTAATTTATTTATTTAATATAAGCATGAATTAGCAAATATTTCATGTCAATATGCATGCCTTCATATAACATATGAATAACATTAATTTTAATGTTAAAAGCATTGAAAGACTGTGTTATGCAAAAGAAAAAAAACAGTCTTGTTCATATAAGCCAATTCTACGCACGCACACACACACACACACACACACACACACACACACACTTTGCTGTGATTTGATTAAATACAGACTGACATTTATATGCCGTATTTGTGTGTGTGTGGGTCTAAGTAAAGCATGTAAAACATGTGTTCTCAGACTTAGTGTTAGTGATACCGTATGTATTACTTATTACTTATGACACGCAAATTCGTGAAGCGTTCCTCATTTTTTAAATAATTTCCCCCAGGGATCAATAAAGTATTCTGATTCTGATTCTGATTCTGATTAGTGACAGTCACGCCTCAATAAAACCCTAATTGGTGCTAATGTGCTTTAATGTAGCAGTTGTGGCAGAAATAAAAATATAACTGAAGATTATAGGAGGCAGATAGTCACACCCACTTTCCTCTAACTCCCTAGCAAAGTTAAGGTGCTATGCTATCAAAGTGAATGGAATAGTTACTCTAGACCAGTGGAGTCCAAATCCAGGCCTCGAGGACCAGTGTCCTGCAGGTTGTAGATGTGTCCTTGATCCATCACAGCTGATTTAAATGTCTAAATTACCTCCTCAACATGTCTTGGGCTGTGTCCCAATTCAGGGTCTGCACGCTGAAGGCTAGAACGTCCCATTTCACAAGCCTCTCACTTCCGCACTTCTCGTACTTATAGTACGCACCGTACGTAGTACGCGTAGTGTGCGTTCTTCAAGCGTGCAGACCCTGAATTGGGACACAGCCTTGAAGATCTCCAGAGAACTGGTAACTAATCATTTGATTCAGGTGTCTAGACCCAGGGTGAGATCTAAAACCTGCAGGACACCGGCCATCAAGGCCTGGAGTTGGGCAAGTCTGCTCTAGACTGACATTTCCTATTTTGCTCATTTATTTTTCATGGAGACCAAATACTCGTGACTTAGAACAAAATCCAAGAAAGAGATGACACATCATTGTGGATATTAATTTATATATATATATATATATATATATATATATATATATATATATATATATATATATATATATATATATATATATATATATATATATGTATGTATGTATTTTTTAAAACTTTTTAAACTAAAAAACAACTTTGTTATTGTTTGTTATTAAATCACTATTCGAAAGTGTTGAGTCAAAGATGGGGTTGACAACAAAGAACAGCACAGAAACAACATAAAACCAAGAGCATAAAATATATCTCTGCTATTACATGGTACTTGTTTACGAAGTAGGGTTCAGTTGGTGGTCTCTGGTCTACAACTGTTGCCAGCGGAAGCACAGCAGATTGATGCCTTACAGCCATGTGATTTGAAGCAGATGGCTACCTGGATGGCTGCACCTACATAAATTACTCTCAGCAATTAACTCAAGCCTTGTCCTGTATATAAAAAAACAGGGATTGTTCATAATACTGTGAGGTTTCTGCTAATTGTGGCTCGCTGATAGAACAGTCTCAGTCACAGTGAAAGTGCTGATGGAATACTGTTAGAGAGCTTTAGGACAGCTTAATGGGCTTGGCCTCTTTGACTCATCAAGCCGAGCGATCAGAGAGAGTAATTGAGGGCAAGCCAAAGGCTAAACTATCTTTTGTACATTCACTATATTATTCTGTTACCTCTGAGATGGAAATTAGCCTCTGAATGTGATGAGCGGGATGGTTTGAATACATGTGCTGGATATTTTGTCCTTCGCTAACGTAGTTCTGTGTGTATGTAGGACACCCATCTTTTCATGTGAGTTACAGACTTGCGTACTAACTTAACCAACACACATAGGATTCTAGGCTTCCTCTTTGATAACAAGGAGGCAAGATATTGAATGAAAGATGGAAATTGCCATTAAAATTCACACACTGCTCCACATGGAATTTCTCTGTTGCTACAGTATTTAAATACACCAAACCCAATCACAGAAAAATGAAGAGAAAAGGAAAATAACCCTAAGAGCTAAACACAAGCTGCATCAGTGCACACTGTTTTCCATGAAACAGCTCCTAAAAGTTTTTCCCTAGCCACTAAAGCGCTGGCCTAAATATCATTTTGTAGTTCTTTCCATAGTAATAATCAACAGTTTTGTATCCCCTGCAGCCTTCAAACTTGTGTTTACCACCAGGCTCCCTGCTCCTCAGCATTCATTATGTCATGTAAAATTAACGAGAAAAACCCCAGTCACAGTTCCTGCCAATTCAGCGCACTACCTCCATCAAAGGGGAGAAACTACTGAAAAACATTGCTATTTTTTCCAGTTGCTGCAATGTGTATTTAGTGTTTATATGTGATTACATACTGTATGTGTTTATATGCAAGTGGAATGCAAAGTGGTGTAGAATATATACTACAATGCACTGTACATAGTTTTTATGTATCACCTATGGTGCAGTATTTTGCTCTTTTTAATTAATCTTTTCCAAATAAAAATCTATGCTGAGAATCTTTTGCAAATTTATTGGAAGAAAGAATATGACTGACATTCAGAACCAATTTAGCATAGGTTAGTTCAGTTTCTAGGTATTTCTCTTGCTTATCTTTGCAATGTGGTAAATTTAACTGACTGGACATGATCTGGGAATCAAAAGCCTGGTGACAGGGAATACTGTTGCACAAGTCAAAGGGGAGGATCAGGTCAATGCACAAATTGGAACAACTGGGTGTCTTCCTGGAGCTGGCTGTCTGGCCAAACTAAGCAACTGCCAGAAAAGGGCCTAAGTACATACTGCTAACAAGAACCAGATAGTTCTTTTCTAAATGTCACACCTAAGGGACCCATCCATCACTACTAATCATCATGCCCGATACCATCCCAGTGGTAAGGCACGCTTGTGCCACATTCATGTAGAGTTGATGTTTTCTGTATGGACTAGTTGGGCTTCAGGGAATGGTTAACAGCTAAAATACAGACATATTCTTCAAGAAAGCTTTTTCCAAAGCACTCAGGACTGAATCAAAGTTTCACCTTTCAACTGGACATGACCATAAGCATATAGCCCCCTCTCAAAAAACAAACTGGAGTGGCAACTCTGTGAATGTCTTTGAGTGGCCCAACGACAACCGTGCTGTGAACTCAGTGAAATATCTCTGGAGAGACCTAAAAATGAACTCTGACCATCTGCATCAAAACTGACAGAGCTTAGGAGGATCTGCAGACAAGAATGGCAGAAAATCTCCAAATCTGTGTGCAAAGGTTCTTGTGTCCTACCCAATAAAATTCAAGAGTGCAAGAACTGCCAAATGTGCCTCAACTTAAGTACCATAGGTTAAATAAAAACATCAGAAAACTTTCTTGAAGTATTCGTCATAGATTAATTGGCCTTGCCTTACTCTTTAATGTGCTAACCTTTTTCATTCACCTTATAAAACCTTCTTTCTGTATTTTGCAATTCCTGCCTGTCAATCTTTTATACTATTTCTTCTCTTCCTTTTTTGGACTTCCTTCGTCTAACTGTCTCCTCTGCCCTCTTCATGGAGTAAAGACATTGCGGAGATCCTCTCCTCTCCTCTCAGCCACTATTGATTCACAACTCAGTTTACTGAAATCAATAAATCACCAATTGCATCAAGTGGAGACTAGAGGGTGAGAAGGAAAAGGAGAGAGGAGATATAAAAGACAGACAAAGACTAAAAAGAGAGACAGAAAGTTGGGATATCAATAATGAAAAATGAAGAATTAAATTCAATGATTCTGCAACAGCCTAGATTGACAAAAGACCTTCAGAATCCTTCAAAGATGTAACAGACTCTAGACTAAAAATCCATTAGCCCATCAAGGTCTCACAGACTTTGATTTCATATATAAAAAAAGTACAGAGTCATCATGGACTTGGGGATTTACTCAAACCAGCTAAGAGTAAATTAAAATAGACAACAGAATAAAAGTACTAGGGCTGTGTTTTTGTCGGCTGCTCTGATCCTTACTGACTGGCCTGGGGAAATGATTTTGCTCGATGGAGGAGATTGTGCTCAGATAGAGAGCGGTGGGGGTGGGGGAGGCATGATGGAGCTATCAGAGCTACACTATCTCTCTAAGTTACTGTAATTTCATACAGGTGCCCACACATACACACACACCCACACACACATGCACACAAGTACACTTAGATACGGACCATCTTCCAACAGACAGACAGAGGTGTCTGGCATCATTAACCTGGCGTCTTCCTAATTCTGACAGAATGAGGCTGCTGCTTGTGTTATCGCTCTTTCTATCTCTCTGTGAGTGTCTGTTTGTTATAGTTTGTGTCCCCTATATATATGGTGTTGTTGCTGTGCCTGGGCTCTTGCTAAGTGAGCGACTTTCAGTTAAACTTTGCCTACCGGAAAAGAAATTTGATCATTTTTGCCTTAACACACACATGTACAAATATGGGTGATTTAGAAATATTGATTTAGATTGAAGAACTATCTGCAAATAACCACAAAACCAACACAAGTTCTATATGAACAGCATAGACGACTCAAATCCTAGCTGTAAAACATGAAAAATAAACATGCAACACACCTCCTCAAACATAGGGAGCATGTGGTGGAGTACACACATCCACAGTGTAGAGAAATGCGATGGAAATGAATGATGCTGGCACTAAAGTTGGTCTAGTTCTCATTAGAAATGTGGTGTTGGTGCTGGGTTGACCCTTACCTCCGAGGTGATAGGTTCCTCCCGTGGTGATGCTGAGAGGTGAGACGGAGCGCACAGCAGACACCTCCTCGCCGTCTATCGTCAACATGGCAAAGTTCTCCTTGGCAACCAAACGTATTGCATGCCACTGGCCATCATTGAGGCCCGAGCCTGGAAAAAAGCAATAAGGCAAAAGCATTTGTGTAAATCCCTGGATGTAATAATAAAACTTGCTGAGAAAAATAAAAATAAAAAAACAATAAAAAAAGGCCCACCACACAAAACTCAATACTGGTACTTTTTACCCCCATAGGTCCAAGTTATTTCTTTTAATAGGAGAATATAGAAGAATATGTAAGGCCCTGACTGGGATTTGTCAATAAGACAATTGGCTGGGTGAGAGGTGTGTGGGTGATTCATTCTGTTATGTGTGGCTATCCCTCTCTGTTTACCTTCTACTTTTATATTCAGCATATGTTTTTCTCCACAACAATGGCACTCCTGTGTGCCTGCTGAATGTGATTCCAACAGAGTTCAGTGCTATCGAGGATCATCTTTCTGCCTCTATTTCGGCTTCCCCTCACTTATGTGCACAGTCACATATGCAAGTCCGTGCTCCTCGATTCTTCTCCCCTACTCTTTTGTTCTCTCACTCCCTCTTTCTCCTGGCTCCCTTTTGTAGTCTCAAAGCCCATGTGACTCAACTCCATTAAGTCTCACAGAACCCTGTTTGCTGAGTATCCAAATGCATGTGTGTGTGCGTCCTTTATGTGCCTGCAACTTTGAGTACTTTTTGAAAGTGCACGAGGCTCTAATGTGTTGCTCTGTCTGCATATGTGTGTGTTTGGTGCATGCAAGTTCCGTGCCCTCCTTTCTTCTCCCTTCTCTTGTAGCTGTGCTCCATTAAATATGAGTGATGTTTTGGAAAGGGACATTACTACTGGAGCTGAGAGAGAAGCCAGCTTCCTTTCATTGCCCTCTCCTCTATACATCACCTCTTACTGACACCAATCTCTATTCATCCTTTCCTCCTCACCTCGATCGCTATCCCAGATTCCTCTATCTCTCCATCTTTATTTCCCTTCCTCTGTTTCTGCATTTAAAATTTCCTCTCTTTTTTTTTCTCTCTTCTCTTTTCTTCTCTACTTCTCTAAGTTTGCAGCCATCTGCTGCAGTGTCTTTCTTTTTCAATTGGGCTTAGCACACTGCCTCACTGATTGTAATACATCGATACCTGTTGAGGACACTGTAGCGAAGTTCAAGGTACGGTCATGTGTAAATCAGTCTTGGCAGAGCGCACCTACTCATGGATCTGCATGCACGTCAATACACACACTTTCGCATAGACGGTGGGCAAGCTTATGTCGGTGTGTTTGCATTTTTGTGTGGCGGCCTCTGTGTGAGTCCCCGCTGTCTGCAAGATGCACTCTCACATTGTTTACTTCTTCCCAGAATGCACTTGAAGACCCGAGCTTTCATATCAGCAGGGAGTCTGCACTAATTAATCTTCATCAGCAGGGTGGCCGTGTGTGCCTGTGCTTGTATGCCTGTGTGCGATCGAGGCTGTGACCAAAGAATTAAGGGCCAAGATGGTCACTTGCTGAGAGTTGTGACCACAGCAGCCACGCTCAGGGCAACGTGGTTGGGCATGCAAAAATACACACTCGCATACACGGGACATGGTACCCCTTAAAATTGTAAAACCCTTTTTTAAAAACTAGCTCTAGCAGGGAGAAAAATAAAATAATAAAAAATAATACTGTTAACAACGCTTTTTTGTCAGGAGGCCATGATCCCAAAACTAATAACACAAAATCTAGAGGACAGTGTCTACATTGTCCGAGTGATAACCACAAAAAAGTTACTTCTGGCAGAAAGCGACCTTGATAACCTCCTTCAGTGACAATCACATTTCTGCCTGCATATTGGTTTGATGTAATCACTACCAAGCTCTCTCCTCCATCCTGTCCCACTCTCTATAACCTCTTGAATGTAATGGAAAATAGATACTGTATAACCTTGTGTTCCCTCATCTGTTTTACATCACCTGCAATAGCTTTGAATGATGAGCTTATCAGTGATGGCGATGTAACTGAACCTTCACACTCATGCACAAACAGACAAGTGCCTGCTGAAACCCTCATGCTCAAATATGCGATCCGTGTTCTCTCTCTCTGTCTCTCTGTCTTTCTTTCGCTGTCAAAAGCACCAAATACAGTGGCCTGTAAAAGTATTCGGCCCCCTTGAACTTCTCCACATTTTGTCACATTACAGCCACAAACATGAATCAATTATATTGGAATTCCACGTGAAAGATTAATACAAAGTAGTGAACACGTGAGAAGTGGAACGAAAATCATACATGATTCCAAACATTTTTTACAAATAATTAACTGCAAAGTGGGGTGTGCGTAATTATTCAGCCCCCTGAATCAATACTTTGTAGAACCACCTTTTGCTGCAATTACAGCTGCCAGTCTTTTAGGGCAGCCGTCCCCAACCTTTTTTGCGCCACGGACTGTTTTATGCCCAATAATATTTTCAAGGACCGGCCTTTAAGGTTTCGCAGATAAATACAACAAAATAAAACTAGTACCGGTACCGAAAAAAAAGAAGATTTATTCATAACACACGTGAAGAGACCCAGGAAAACCGAGTTAACGATAAAAACAATGAAAAAAATAACGCTGAAAACCGATAAAAACCCTGAAAACCATACATTTACACCTGAGCCTCAACTCTCGCGGCCCAGTACCAAACGACTCACGGACCGGTACTGGTCCGAGGCCCGGGGGTTGGGGACCACTGTTTTAGGGTATGTCTCTACCAGCTTTGCACATGTAGAGACTGAAATCCTTGCCCATTCTTCTTTGTAAAACAGCTCCATCTCAGTCAGATTAGATGGACAGCATTTGTGAACTGCAGTTTTCAGATCTTGCCACAGATTCTCGATTGGATTTAGATCTGGACTTTGACTGGGCCATTCTAACACATGGATATGTTTTGTTTTAAGTCTTTCCATTGTTGCCCTGGCTTTATGTTTAGGGTCGTTGTCCTGCTTATAGGTGAACCTCCGCCCCAGTCTCAAGTCTTTTGCAGACTCCAAGAGGTTTTCTTCCAAGATTGCCCTGTATTTGGCTCCATCCATCTTCCCATCAACTCTGACCAGTTTCCCTGTCCCTGCTGAAGAGAAGCACCCCCAGAGCATGATGCTGCCACCACCATATTTGACAGTGGGGATGGTGTGTTCAGAGTGATGTGCAGTGTTAGTTTTCCGCCACACATAGCGTTTTGCACTTTGGCCAAAAAGTTCCATTTTGGTCTCATCTGACCAGAGCACCTTCTTCCACAGGTTTGCTGTGTCCCCCACATGGCTTGTGGAAAACTGCAAACGGGACTTCTTATGGTTTTCTGTTAACAATGGCTTTCTTCTTGCCACTCTTCCATAAAGGCCAACTTTGTGCAGTGCACGACTAATAGTTGTCCTGTGGACAGATCCCCCCACCTGAACTGTAGATCTCTGCAGCTCGTCCAGAGTCACCATGGGCCTCTTGGCTGCATTTCTGATCAGCGCTCTCCTTGTTCGGCCTGTGAGTTTAGGTGGTCCCCTAGGGACCCCAAAGCGCTTTACACACGCAATCATCCACCCATTCACTCTCACATTCACACACTGGTGGAGACAAGCTACAGTTGTAGCCACAGCTGCCCTGGGGCAGACTGACAGAAGCGAGGCTGCCATATCGCGCCATCGGCCCTTCTGGGCTGAATAAGGGGGCTGAATAATTACGCACACCCCACTTTGCAGTTATTTATTTGTAAAAAATGTTTGTAATCATGTATGATTTTTGTTCCACTTCTCATGTGTACACCACTTTGTGTTGGTCTTTCACGTGGAATTCCAATAAAATTGATTCATGTTTGTGGCTGTAATGTGACAGAATGTGGGAAAGTTCAAGGGGGCTGAATACTTTTGCAAGCCACTGTACAATGGCAAAAATCATGCACATACCAGCTGTCTATCACAGATAAAAAAAAAGAGTGAAAAAGATGAAGGAGGAGGAGAATTAGTCAGATTAAACCTGATAAAGTTGTGGTTTTCTTTGTTGTCATTCAAATGCAGGGTCTGATAACAAAGTGACAAGCTGATCAGCTACTTTGCTTGGTTTGAACTTGGGGTTAATTCATGTTATATTGAATCCTTAGTAAACAAATGCAACTGTGGCAAAAATATCATCCAAACAGTAAATAAAATCACTACACAAAAGTGATGATTTCATGCTGTGAAACAGTGAACTTGATTGGATTGAGGTTTTGACATCATTATCATCATATCTCTAGCAGCTTCACCAACCTATCTGTTGGGAACCAGCTTTTAAGGTCATGCAAAATAAATCCAACATTTTAGTTTTCATTTCCATCTGAGGAAATCTAACATTCATTATTCACATCAACAATTGAATTAATTCAATGCACATCCTAAAGGTGTGTGTACTTTGTAACCACTGACCATCTGTATAGACAAGATACCATCTGTATAAATACAATAAACAATGTGAAAACTGTTTAATTAATGTTCTGCAATATTAGTTTGGGGTAATCCCCCCCAAAAAAAAAGAGGTAAATAAGTCATGAAAGAATGCAGTTCTATCTGTCTGTGATGTGTACTCATGAAGAAGATCTGAGCTGACCACAGATGAAGTGCAAGACTAGGAACGAGTCCTCGGATGAGCTGAGAGCACCGAGACACATGTTGGTAGGGCAATTTTCCTAAACATAACAAAACTGTTGCACATATATTCTCTATTAAATGGCTAATTGTTGCTCTTACTTGTCTGTTTCTGCTATAAATTAGCCTGTGTTAATTTAATGCATGCAATGTAAGCAATTGGAACTCCATCATTATCTAAATTTGAATAGCAGTAATTTAAATACTGATCCATTAAACCTAACAAAAGTCATTACTGTAAGAAAACAACTTACTTTCTGCAAATTGCTCTCAATTCAAAAAATTTTCAGAAATTTCCACCAATAAACAAAGCCTGGTGCAGCTTACTGCTCATGCTTTTCACTGAAAATCTCATCCTCTATGATGTTTCAAGATGAGCACCAGACTGACAGCCACAGAAAACAAAGTGACAGCAATTACAGCAAAGCTTCAAGCGCCTGAGACT